GCGCGGGGGCCTCTCCGCGCCGCGCCTCCCGTCTGCGGGGCCCGCCGCAGCGAGGCACCGCCGTGCGCGCCTCCCCGGTGCCGGGGCGCGGGTCCGGCCGCGTGTTTCTCTCCCGAGGTTAGCCCCTTAGGAGCAGCGTCCGCGTGGCTGCTTTCCAGGGAGAGCRCGAGGTGGCGAGGCCGCGTTTTAGCCCGCGGTGGCCGTGTGGTCAGGCTGGGTCTGCGAATGGTGCGGAGGGTTGTGCGCAGTGCGGGGCTCCCCAGGGCGAGAGGGACACGGAGGAGCCGCCGGAGAGAGGCCAGCGCTGGGCTGCCAAGGAGATGAGGGCTGGAGCATCTCTCCTGCGGGGAGAGGCTGCGAGAGCTGGGCCTGTGCGGCTGCAGGAGAGAGGGCCGCGAGGAGACCTGATCAATGTGTGGAGATACCCTAAGGGAGCGTGGCAAGAGGATGGGCCGGACCCTTCAGTGGTGACCAGCGATAGCGCAGGGGATGGGGGCCGTGACCTGAAGCGCTGGAAGCTCTGCCAGAAGTTGAGGCAAAGCCCTTGGCTGCGCAGGTGGCGGAGCACCGGAGCAGGCTGCCCGCGGAGCTGAGGGAGTCTCCTTCTCTGGAGATACTGGAACTGCCTGACCGTCATCTGCGCAGCGTGCTCCAGGTGACCTCACCTGTACCAGTCCATCCCCAAGGGTCCCGTCCAAGCTTAACCATTCCGTGATTGTCAGTGTAGTGAATAGCAGCAGGAAGAGAGGGGGAGCTGGAGCTGTGGCTCATTTTCGCTGATAGTAGTGTGTTTCTTCAACTTCATACCGAGGGTATCTGATTATYTCACTAAAAAGCCCGTAGCTGTATAGAAGGGTGGGTAGGTGCTTCATTTTCAGAAATTCTGTCCTTTGAGGCTGAATAGCTTCCCAGGCTGACACCCAGTGATTATCCAAGATGACTCTCCTGTTTGCCAATAGAGCAGCAGTTGTAATGAGAGTCACAATTACGCAAGTAGATTGCCATTGAACTCTCCAAAATGAAAGAAGTGCCGAATGGTGGGTTTTTTTCTGTTAAAGAGCTCAAACTTCAAGGTGTGATACAAGAGCAGAAAAATGAAAAGGTGCCAAATCAAAGCTGACTCTAAAACCAGCTGCTCTAGAGAAGGTAGATGTTACCTGCATGACCCTGTGGCATGTTATACCCTCTGTATTTTGACTACTCATCTCCCAGTATTAGTGTAGCCAAAGACTTGGTCTGGTTTCTGTTGGTATTTACGCTATCAGCAACGGATCCTGGTTAGCAAGTGATACCAGGATGATGACACTGCTTTTGTCCCTCGCCTTGTCCCCGTTCTCACCTGTTTGTGTACACAAAACATGCCATCTTACTTAGCTCCTGTATGTGGAAGAACAGATTTGTGATGATTTCTGATGATGGAGCGCAGATTTCTATACGGGGACTTTTCTCTTTGTTTGGGTAAACATAACCCAAAGTATAGCTGCATTTGTAACTCAGCCCTTGACTGCCCATAGCTTAGCTTGTGCCACTGCCAGCAAGGGCTTGCTACGGCCTGTTAGGCTCTGAGCAGGTGGAGGAAACGTGGCCCTCTTCCTGGAGCAGCCCCCAGCCCAAGGAAATCCCTAAATCCCCATTCCTGGCCATGTCTCTGCTCCAGTAACATGGCAGCACGTTGGTGTTAGATGTCGTTCAGTATAGCAGGGCCAGCTCTCATGTGGTTAGGAGAGACTCAAGACAGAGAGAGGATCAAAATTAACTGCTGTGAAATCTGCGGGTGCTTTTRGTTGTCTTGAAAGCTGGTGACCCAGGGCAGCATCTGCTGCTTCCTATTCTGCTGGCCGCTTGAATTTCCTAGAAACTCCCAGTCGGACATTAAGTTGTGGCTTCAGCCCACCCAAGCTTAGACTACAGCACTGCAGAAATTCTCAACTAGTTCCTAGCACCCTCGATCCTTTCGGGAGCTGTATGTAGGAGAGGGTTAGTGGGAGGGAGAGGGGGAGATGATACAGGATAAAAATAGGAAGTCAGCTGGAGCCTGAGGAAAATGTACTAGTTCAGCAGAGTAGCTGTGCTGAAATTTAAGAGGATTTATAGACAGCTCTTTCTTCTTGTGCCTTGGTAAGTCAGGGACTGTGTTATGAAAACCTAAGCATAGTATGAGTTAAAACTGTTTCCTTTAGTGGAAATATACAGTGCTACATATACACATGTTTTTATCTGCCTTTGCCTAATGCTCTGGGAAAATGGGCTGAAAGTACAGGAAAATGATTTGGAAAGTAAAGCTAACTTGAAGGCAGCTGTGTAAACTGATCTACTGGCAACCTCTCYGAAAGAGGAGGGTTTTAAAGTTAACTGTGAGTTTACATGTGCTTTATACTGGTGAGACAGGTGAAATACTGCAGGTAAGCATGTTTACTTCACAAGGAATTCCTTGCTCATCCCGATGATAGAATATCACATCCTTGTGGATTTTGCTGAGCTCTCTGGCAGCTTTTGCATGAATACTTGTAGCTGGGTGGAGACCTGCCGGGAGGGAAGCAGCTCTGCCCCTTTTCTCTCCATAATTACAAGGTGTCGCTGACCAGGACGGAGCGCCTGATGCAGACTTGCCCTGCGGTCGCTGCGAGGCAGGGCGCTTGTTGGCTCACTGCAGCTGCTGGCTGATGCAAGYGGTCCTCCAAGAAAGGAGCACAGCAGTTCTCAGCAAGAACAGCAGCKGAGATAGGGCAGTTATATCCAAAGGCATCGCGGGGGAGAAAATGCAAAAGATGAGGATGAAGTCTGTTTTGGGTGGCAAATGTTTTTCCGCACCCARAAAGATCTTAGCGTGTCCTACATACTTAAAATACTGAGGTGTGTGATTTCAGAAGGCACTTTTTAGAAACACAGCGTGGAACACAGCGGCAGTGGCAGGTCTTTAGCGAGGTTCACCCACGTAGTTTTGCAGTATCTTGCACTGCTAGTTTTCATAACTTGTTTTGCATGGCATGTGCTATGAATTTCAGCTTTTAAGACTGAATTAACATAAAAAAAAATAAGTGGTTTAATGCCATGGATGTGTGAAGAACATTTTCTTCCTTCCGTCTCCYCTTGCAGAGTATACTTTTAAGTCAGGCTTGTAGAGAATGTTATTGTGTATTTTGTCTAGCAAGTGTTTCTCATGAGTGTCCTTTCCTTTTAGGGCCTAAAATTACAAAGTGAAAGTTTTTCTTCAGTTGTTTTTCTAAAAGACTCCTTGCTATTTACTTTGTCCCTGTTATGAGTTGTGCTTAAATAATATTGTCTGCGTGAGGGAAAAAAATGTAACATTATTCTACTCAAGTTTCTTTTTCCTTACTGCAGTAGAAATGCTGTTGTTCTGTAGTTAATTTAGGTATTGGTTTTGGTAGGTGTTTCCAAAGTAGTTCCACAATGTAGTGTGCTTTCATGATGTGTTTTTCAGGGATGCAGTTTTAAAATATATTCAAATGATGTGTTTTTACTTTTCATCCATTACTTCTGCCTAATGTTTCCCACTGTATCAATTAGCTCTGTCACTTTCCTTCCTCTTGCATGACTGTTAAGTGTGAGAAACTAATTGCACACAGATGGTAAATGAGTGAAGAATGAAGCTTTGTCTTGTCCAAAAGCTATCTGGTTGCTGATTAGATGTAACCAGTTATAAATGTGCTGTTTCTAGGATATCTTTAAAATCTATTGAATGCTTTGAATCTGTTCGTCATTTCCRTTTTGGTTGGGTAATATAATAGTAGTCCTGAGATCTTATGGCAATCAGCAGCTGAGCAGGGCTGAGAGCTCCTGATGCAAGTGCAGCCCCTGTAGATGTTGTGGAGTGTAAGATAGAAGAGGAGATTGGAACAACTGCCACAAGAAAAGCTTTAGTCAGAGCTAATATCTTGTTAGTGACCAGACTTAAGATGCAAGCTCACAAGAAAACTGAGATCCGCTAGTTCTCCAGGTTACTGAGTGTGCTGCCTTATTTTCTGGTCTTCATTTTTATTGTGTGATAAGATCTTATGAGGTARTGTGGGGCAATAAAGCAATAGATTTCTGTAATTATTTTTAGAAAAACATTATTGAAGGTTTCTACATWGCTGATTTTTGGCTTTTTTTCTCTGATTTAGAAAACTCTCTGTGATGTCATTCTGATGGTTCAAGAAAGAAAGATCCCAGCTCACCGCGTTGTGCTTGCTTCAGCCAGCCACTTCTTTAACTTGATGTTTACTAGTAAGTCTTTTCATAATTGATTGGCTTTTATAGGCTTTTATGTCCATGTCTTCTTAGACTGGCAGCTGACAAGCTGTTTATTCTATAAAATAGTTAGAGGCATTGAATATCAGTGAGGATTTCCTCACTTTTTCTTCTCTTTGTCTCTGTTCACCCTTCCTTTCATTTTCTTTTTTTATTTCTCATGACTAAATCAGTGAGTTTAATTAGTATTCAAGTCATTTTCTTACTTGTGGCCCATATGCTACGTTAGTCTCCCTTTCCCAATCTGCTGTTTGGGACCGTTTATTCCCATGACATAACTTATGCCTCACTATCACTTCCCCTCCTTGGGCACTTCCACATCAAAGCCAGCTGTAACATTTCAGAAATGTAAATGTTCTTGGACTTGTACTGTCTTCATAAATTCACATATGTTAGAAACTGAGTCTGGTTAAAAAAAAAAAAGAGAGAGAGGAAAAAAAAAGAGAGAGAGAGAGATTATTCTGCCAGAGTAAAATAATCACATTTTCTGTTGGTCAACACAATTATCTGTGGGTGGCTTAGCAGTGTTGTGACTGGGTGTTGAGAGCTCTGATCTGACTGAATTATCAGCTTAAATAAGGAAATAGTTTGTGATGGTGCGRTGTGAGCTTTCTGTCTTTGATGGTAGCTTGGCAGCCTCTGCACTACACTCAAGAGCATCTCTGACCTTTTAAATGCAYTTTATAGAGTATTTTTCATACTGCAGCCTCCTTCACTAGTTATCCTGCCTGTCCCACTGCTTCCTGCCTTCCCTGTTAGTAATCCTGGGAAAGCAGAAATTGACTGTGTGCAGTTTTTAGCAACTCAGATCAATTTATTTTGTATTGTTTGTAAAATCTACAATAACTATAGTGGCTTGCTGATGTACTTTACCTTTTGCTCTCTTTGCAGCAAATATGCTGGAATCCAAGTCATTTGAAGTGGAGCTAAAGGATGCAGAACCTGACATTATTGAACAGCTTGTGGAATTTGCTTATACTGCAAGGTAGGTTGTTGTTTAAAACTGCTTGATGCTTTGTTRGGAAGGCTGTCAAATGTAAATGATAAGCTTTAATGCTTTTATAGTTCTCTGTTGCAATACTGTTTTTTCGTAGGGCTTCTGTTGACTAAGGCTGAGTGGTAATTGCTTGAGAAAGCAACTCAAAGCACTTTAGGCTTCTAACTATGGTGTTGGAGTTGAAAGACATTCCCACTGCTCTGGAGGTCAGGCCCTAGTTGATACCAGCAGGGTTTCTCTTTATGGCTGTTAGCAGCTAGYGCAGAGGAACATTTCCAGGAGTGTTATCTTCATCTCTCAACAGGCTAGACCTGGTCTGTGAACTGCACTTCCCTTCTCTCTGATGTTGTCCCATGTGTTTAGTTGCCTGCAGTGTTGTTTGAAAACAGTGTTTAGACGGAGCTTGGTCAGGTGCCTAGASTTGTGGACAGGCTTTTGCAGCAAGCTGCTGTGCCTGGTGGATGGCAGACTGATCTGATTTAGACTGATCAGATAAATACTCTTCCTAAGGAGAATTACTCCCCTTTTTGGAGGGAAATGCTACTTTATGCTCCCCTTACGTTGAGGGACAGCTTATATCAGTGCCCTGGCTGCCCTCCTGCCTCTGCTGGAGCCCAAATGTGGGCTCTGCATCCTCTATTGATGCGCTTCCAAACTGGCTCTTCTGCTTGTGCACTGAAGGCAAATCATCCATAACTGACAATGAGTTTAGATACATCTTGTCGAGGCTGATTTAGGAGTGGGAGACTGGCAGAAAAGGTTCTTTTTGTGTGTATGATAATAGTTGATCGTACAAGTCGTAATGCTAGTACTGTAATTGGACTGTCTGCGAATGGCTGATGTTTAAGGCTTAGTGTTTGGAATGTAGAACTGTTGGCTTCCTACCCTCCCTCACTAAAATACTTAAAACAATTTTGTRTGTTAAAGCAATCTGGAAAGACCATGAAGGGAGACTGCGTCTAAAGCTTATGTAGAGAGACGTTTGCTTGAGGAAAGAGAGGAAATAACTCACTTAAACCAGCATACATAAGTGACAAAATTTTTTTATTACATCAAAATAGATATTTTTAATGATGCTAATTTTGTGTTTTCTGTTTTGCAGAATTTCTGTGAACAGCAATAATGTACAGTCTTTACTAGATGCAGCAAACCAATATCAAATTGAACCTGTGAAAAAAATGTGCGTGGATTTTTTAAAAGAGCAGGTTGATGCTTCAAATTGTCTTGGTAAGAGAAATGCAGATGTAAGCTGTGTCTTAAACTTGACTATTCTTGGAAAGTGAGTAGTCTTTTTTAAAAGACAGTAATATTTTCATAAGGACAGACACATCAAAATCATTATACCATAAATATAAACATAGTTATATATTTAGCTATATATTATAATAGCAGTTGTCACTGACTATAAAACAGTCTGGCAGCTACCTGCCAGTATCGGGGTCTGCTGATTTTTTTTTTTTAAGGCTCATCCCAGCCTGGCAGCACTGCCTTGGAGCTTCCTGCATCTTTGAGCTCCTTAGTGGGTTAGTACCAAGGAGCTTTCACTTGCTATTGAACTGGGAGATGGAATTTGACACAGTTTAAGTCTTTATTTGATTAAATAAATGTGTGTAATTTTTTCCTGGCATTTACCATGTAGTTCTTCTGATGATGTCTCATTCAGATTCATTTTTTAATATCAATAAGAGTGTTCTGCAAAGTGTCTGAATTATAATGATTTAACTGGCACTTTGGTGCAGTACAGCTGTGGCCCTGAGACACTGCCAGCAGGAAGACGTTGCCTCCTAAGGGAAGTGTCACTTAACGCTTGCTTTGAGGCATATTCAAACATCTTGTTAAATAGAACTTTAATTACATTCTAACACTTCCAGACTCTGTAGCTAATTTATGCCAAAAGGAGGAGATAAATTTTAAATGAAATCTTCTTTAAGATGTTGTTCAGAAATTGAAATCTGTTTTGGTTGCAGAATAATAGGCAAGAACACAATTTATTTAAAAATATATTTTAAATATATATGTTTAAAATATTATTTTAAAGAAGTCATAGCTTGTTTTGAGTGTCTTCAGATTTTGTTAAACTTTTCTGATTTTTTTTTTCTTCTGGAAAGGAGGTCATACGCTTGTATATTTTTAGTATTGTAATTTGTATTTGAGTGTTTGTGGCAGTTTGATCTAGTTGTGGACCCATGGGTTGCCTTTGGCCAGGGATTTGCTTCCATCCTGCCTGCCTCTCCCTCCCTGCGAGGGGGAGGCCTGTAGTGAACTGAGCAACAGTCACTGCTGAATAGTTCTGTGCTGACTTTCCTCTTCTCATACCTGATTACTAATGGGAAACTCAGAAACAATAGATCTGAGTAATAACTGTTAATTATATCCTTATACCAACTCGCAACAGCATCAACTTGACCTTGTTTTGGTCTTCAACAGATTTTGCCACACGGAATCCTTGTCCACAGTGGCTGTTGCAGGAACTGGACTTGGCTGGTGATGCTGCTGCATGAGCAGCGTAGGAGGGGTCAGTAAAGCTTGGATCCAGTCTCGCAAGCTCCTGTGGTTGCTGTGCTGTTGTAGTGTGGCTCATACCTGGTTGATGTTCTGTTGTTGCCTGCTATGGAATGGGGAAAGAAATTATGAGGAAGTAGTATAGACAAATAGTTAATACAGCAGGTGCTACAGGCTTGACTCCAGTTTGTCGGAAGTTTTTTGCAAGTCAAGACACAAGCAGATGATTTATAACATCATGAAACATACACACAAAACATGGTTAGAAATATGAGGTTAGGATTATAAGCATCTCTGCCATTATGATTTTTTTTTGTTGTTTTTTGTAATGTATTCAGCAATGACAGTTCAAATTCTAGGATTTTTTTCATTATGTCCCTTTCCTTCATTAGGTATAAGTGTGTTAGCAGAATGCCTAGACTGTCCAGAACTGAAAGCCACTGCGGATGACTTTATCCATCAGCATTTTACTGAAGTTTACAAGACAGATGAATTTCTTCAGCTTGATGTTAAGCGTGTAACACATCTTCTGAACCAAGATACACTGACTGTGAGGGCAGAAGACCAGGTGAGACCACAGTTTCTTAGCAAGAGATCTGTCTTTCATCAGTTGAGAACATTGAATTTCCCCACCACCACTTTTTAATCAAAAGCTGTTCCAGAGTATCCCACTTCTGAGGGATAAACCCAGAGTATCCCACTTCCGAGGGACAAACATAATTTGTGCTAGGTTGTAGGATAGAGGTGCACTATAGCTTTGTTAAAGCCCTACACTAATGAATATCCACATTCCAAGTGTGGCTCTTACATGGAGAGTTTCAGCAAACCAGAAAGATATAATAAAGGGCCTAAGCAAAACTGTTTCCTTTATGCACACAGGTATAGTGCTTTCGATTCTGTAGTGCTTGAGCTGGATTAAGTTTCATGTGGAGCAGCTCCCAAACCAGTGTTCATGCGCTGTCTGTGGGAGTGAGCTACTTCAAAATGGTAAAGAAACTGCAATACCAGCTGTATGTCTTCTGAGTGTGGCCTTTGCCTTTCAGAGCAAGGAGCTGCTGCTGCTGAAGCGTGGGAAGCTGTAGGACTGAGCAAGAAGGTGAAGAAAACAGTTAAAGCTGAGTGTGTTGACAGTGGTGRATTGAAGCAAGCCCTTATTTAGGCAGTGGATACTCCCTAAGAAAAATGTTTATGTGACTGAAAGGAGCCTGAGATCTCTTTCATTAAGAGTTGTAACTTGTGGTAGAAGTTACTGTCCCATGGGAAGACTGCGTCCAGCAGGCTGCAAATCTGAATGCTAGCCTGCCAGCTTGGTCTTCCCACCACAGGGAACCTGGAGAATACAGGCAGCCTGCCCTGCAGCGCAGAGCAGATTGAGGTGGGGCTGGTTGCTGGATACTTCCTGAAAGCTCTTGGTCAAATCTGGAGAAACCAGACTGGAGTCCTGTCTTCCTGGCTGTGCTGCCCTTGTGCTTGAGCTTCCCTTTGCTTGGTTATGTCATCATGAGTTGACTTGCACCTTTGAGGATCTCGTAGTCAAGTCCCTGTCAAGATGGTGTGTGTGCTTTGAAGCAGGTGGCTGACAAGCTTAGCAGGATGGATAGGCTCCAGAATTAATGTATTTTCTGTATCTCAGATGATAAGAATGATGGTTGTTACTAGCTGCTAAATATGAATAAGTTAAGTCACAGTTGAAGATTCTTGCCACATGCTGGGAAGAGTCCAGACCACAAAGCAGCATTCTCAAAACTGGAAAATTATCATGCTTTGTTAGCTTGTGGCCAGAGCTCCTCTTTGTAATTTAAGCTCCCTTGATAAGGTACATGACATGCTTCAGTGCAGCAGCAGTGGCTTAAGAAATACTTGTGCAGGTAGAACAGCATGATGAAAAATTCTGCATGAGAGTGGGAGAGAATGTGAAACTGCTGAAGGCGGCTGCTGATAGCAAAGAAAACCTTATTTCTATTCTAAAACCTTATTTCTAACCCTATTTCTTTCTGCTGATAGAAAGTTGACACACATTTAGTTTTTTTCTGTTGATGTAGTATATACTTAAGCTTAATTAGAAAAAAAACACAGCTGGTTTTAGTTGATTCTTACTTTTTTATCTATAGTGATAATGCTCCTGTTGACAAATGAAAACAGTGTTTCTGTTGGAGTCATTAATTTGCTGAATGTCAGTAGCTGATGAGAATTTAGCCTTAAATCTTCTTTTCCTTCCCCTTTTTGCGTCTTTCTGTCTTAAGTTCTTCCTTAGTGGCTATTTTGCAGAATTAAAGCTGAGGTGGTTTAGCAGTCCATCTCAATAGCTTGTAATGTGGAAAAACATTTGTTTTTTGGCAGAATTAAATTCGCAAGTGGTTATTTGTAAGGAAGACAGCACTTAGTTTGAATTGCAATTTATTAGATAAATTTGCTATGTCTGAGTGCAGCACTGAGATATCTTAACACTGTTCTTTCTCATCCGTTTCCACCCTCATCCAGAGGATCATAGAGGAGATTTCTGTGTTATTTTTCTGTCCCTTTACCTAATCCCCAATGAAACTCGCATCCTTTCCCTTAAGTAGGAGATAGAGGGAGACTTGTTCAGTATGAATAAATTTATAATAATCTTCACCTAAAATTTTTAAGGTGCCACGTTAACATTTGGAACACCATCACTATGACCTGATAAAAGAAGCAGATTTTCAGCTTAGGAAACCATGTGAGGCAGAAACTGCTGTGACATTTATGGTGAAGTGTTACCTGTTTTTTGGCACCGAACCCAGAGCACGTTAGTCTTAACATGCTGCAGGAGTTACCCATATACATACGAATTGCTGRCTCAGGCTTTCTATTTGAAAAGAGGTAAAATAACAGCAGTTTTTAGTGAACATGTTTGCAAATAGGTTTTTGCTCAGTGATAATGTATTTAATTTACTTAATATCCAAGTGTTGTTGTATTTCTTGAGCGATGTTTATGTTGATATTTCTAGTGGAGTCCTCACATCCTGAATTATGCAGTTTAATTTCCAAGAGGCAGAAGAATCAGTTGGGACCATAAAGGTTTAATCTGCCTTAGTGCCTTGTGGTTCATCCTTCCCTTTTCCTTCTCTTTTGCCTCAGGTTTACGACGCAGCAGTCAGGTGGCTGAAGTACGACGAGCCGAATCGCCAGCCCTACATGGTTGACATTCTTGCTAAAGTCCGATTCCCTCTCATATCAAAGAACTTCTTAAGTAAAACAGTTCAGGCTGAACCACTTATTCAGGATAACCCAGAATGCCTTAAAATGGTGATCAGTAAGTTGACCTCTAGTAGAAGTCTTTGTTCTAAGTAATTTTAAAATACTGTGGAACTCTCATTTATGAAAATTGCTTTAATATGCCATGACAGTGTCTTTACATTAAATTTGTCTATGATTCTGTTTCCTCTAGCATATTGCTTTTAACCAGAAATAGATTAGGAGCTTATCATGTAAACAGCAGCCATTCTGATTTGATAGTGATAAGAAAGAAATGAAACTCATTACAGAATGATTTCAACTTCGTGATAAGAATTGGAATGGGGTTTTGTCATGACTTGTTGAATAATTTGAAGAGTTAGTCCCTATTTGGGACAGGATAGTCACTTCAATGTTGTTCAGATACAAATCCATACAAATATTTTTTGTCAAAAAATTGGTATTATAAAGTGCTGAAAAAACAGTTTGAGATATAGTAAGTGGAAAAAGGGAAGATGCTTCCCCTGCTTTTTCACCGTTCTTGGAAATTTTACCATACATAAAAGAAATGCCCAAATATTGATAAATATTCCAGAAGAAAAAAAGAGTTGACAAGTCAGCTTTGTTTTAAGGARGTTCTAGAAAGTGCATGCAACTGTTTCTCTTCAGTCGATGAGTAAGATTTAATTTATATGTTGGTAAGTATCTGCTAACCTTCCCCATCTCAGTCATACTTCTGGCATGACACAGAACTTGATGCAGGATGTAAGAAATAAATGTTTTGTGTGGTTTCAGTGTATGTTTTTTTGTTTGTGACTTGTGATGTCACTAGTATTTTTGCATGCTTTGGGATGTTTCCTAGGGAAAATGATTAAGTTTTCTTTTTTTACAGTAATTGTAGTGTTTTGCATTGTCAAGGTAAGAGAAAAATGAGGGGCTTTAATGAGATGCAGTGTGCTAGAGATGCCTTCCAAATTAAACAGAAACTGCGAAGAGAAGTGGTGATTCCTCATTGCTTTCAAGTTCCTTTAAATTTCTGTTTTCCTGTTTAGACTTAACAATTGTATCATTTTTCCTTTTTTTTTTTGGATGTGCTATCTCCTGCTAGTTTTAGTCTGTCAACTCTGTGTGGTAACATTACATACTAATTATTGCCATTTAGCTGATGTTTAAGTCCATATCCTGTTTCCACGTAGAGTAGGAATTTTGAGGTGGGGTGTGAATCTGCAGGCTTGCTCCCATGCTTGTGTGCAGTTAAAAAAAATGAAGTTTTAAAGCTGGTTTTCTCAAGAAGCAGCTTCATTCCCCTTTCCCCACCCGTCCCTCTGCAACCTCCCTTTCTGTGTATGCATTTCCCTGGATCTAGAGCAGTTGTTTTCCTGCTAGGTGGGATGCGATACCATCTGCTTTCCCCAGAAGACAGAGAAGAGCTGGTGGAAGGCACGCGGCCCAGAAGAAAAAAGCACGATTATCGCATTGCTTTGTTTGGAGGCTCACAGCCCCAGTCCTGCAGATACTTTAATCCAAAGGTAATCGTTACCTCAGAATGCTTTAAGATTCACTGTTTGTAACCTGCATGTGTTTCATTTTTGTGATTGATATCAACCAAGAGCTACCAACTGGTACAGGGAAGAATGCATATCATGTCTCTTGGGTGTGCRGTTAGGAGGGTGTAGTTAATTAGATGCTTTCAAATCTGTGTATTTAGATGTAATATTTCCTCTTGATTGGAATGATCACGTGTTTGTTCATTGGCAGTATGAGATGTAGAGTTGTGGTGAATCCGTTCGGGTCAGCATTGGATTGGGATGTGCATAACTACTGGAAATGGCTGAATAAAAGATCACRTAACCATGCAGTGATCAGTCGGGAATATCTCAAAGTCTGTGTACATGTACATGCATGTATGTGTTTGGAGAATAACTCAAGGCAGCTCTTCTGTTTTCATATCAATTAAAATACTGGCTTGTATGAGAGTGTAGGACTGCTTTTTAGAATATAAAGGTTTTAATTTTTGTTTAGTTTAGTGCATTTTGTCTAAATATGTAGTTCCCTCTAAATCCCACTGGCTTCTGTCTTTGTTCTTAAAAGAATGTAAGGCAAGGAATCAGGAACAAAGTGTTTTAGAAGTAGAAAAGTGAGTTTCCACAGTGAGAACTTTAGGCAATTTAGAAGAAGCAAGCATAGGCTGAAATTTGTTTCTGTTTTTCTTGAAAAAAAACTAAGCCCAAATATACAGGAAGCCTCAGTTACTTGTAGAAAGATTTCCATACTCCATTTTACCAGATAAGCACCTACAAGAATACAGAAATAAGTTGCTGCCTAAATATTAGGGGCTCCTATAAGGTATGGAATTACTTACCTGTAATATTTTGTTGCAGACGGTTTGGTTGTTTTAACTCAGCATATTAAATGCTTGTTGCAATTTCAAACAGTTTTCTGTGTTATCTGTGTGAAACGTGCAATCTATGTGAGGCCATAAAATCCAAATCAAAATTAATGAGCCTGTAGGCTATGTTTTTGACCCATCTCTGGTATGAATTCAGTCCCTCATTCAGGACAAAATTGGGCCTRCCTTTCTTTGAGCACCACTTAAATCTGAAAAATATTACCAGCTCTGCYGTCTTAGTTTGAGACATTCTAAATTTATATTTGTAATAGGAATTCCATTTTTTAAGACCACCTGTATCTTCTTAACCTTCATATAAAATACTCAGGTGAGACCTAGAAATATTGCTGTGGTGAGTGGTGGTGAACGGAGCAGGTAACTTCCTGAAGTGAAACAGAAAGTTCTTTTATTTTGAAAGGTAAGCTCAGAATTCGAAATCTTTTTATCAAGGCATTCAAATTGTTCAAACAATTACTTGGTTCTGGCATTTTAGCAGGTTGTAGTTTACTCCAATATGGTCTGACCATTTTTATGAGAAATAGACCAAAGTGCTTTTCTCTTGATCTCTAGTTAAGTATGTTGGAGTAAAGCTATCCTAAGACAGGGTGCAGAGGAGCATGGAGAGTTGTTGTCCCAGCCTTTAGTTAGCAGTGATGTTATCTCTGCATAGAGCCCATGCAGTCCCACTGCCAGCCCAGCTGACACAAGGCTTGGGGTCCCTGGCAAGTGCCTCATGTCAGTGATAGACAGAACTCAAGAGACAGGGCAATTGTTCCCTCCTTCATTATGAAATAATAAAAAGTACCTCAGCTGTCGCCATGTATACTTGAAGATTTGTTTAAAAAATAAAACCCCCCAAAGTAACCTAGATGAACATTGTGTGAGGAGCCACAGGCCAAGAGAGCTCAAAGGAAAATTGTGTGCGATTAGATGCTCCTCAGTTAGACCTAAGCTATGATATTCCAGTGGAATCTGCTTTGTGCCTGGAAAGGCATGTCTGTATAAATCCACATAAAGCCTTATGGACTAGAATTACCCTTTCCTTCCTTGCACCATTTGTCCTGGCAAACAGCAGAGCGTGTTTTGGCATAACAAAAAAAAAAAAAAAAGACTTCAGAAGGAGTTTTGCAGAACTGGTTCTTGAGCTTTATGGCCTTTGCATATGGAATGATGGGGGGCAGTGGGTGGCAGGGAGAAGGAAAAGTGTTTATTTGGAGATCTAGATCATAATATTGTGCCTTTCATCAATATTTTGTTAGTTCAAAATATCCTATGCTTTTGTACTTCTTTTCCATTTTTAGCTAGCGTGTCATGTGCTGATTAGMTTCTATTTGCTTTATCTCCTGCTCCAAGTTATTAAAAACTCCTTTTCAGGTTGTCTTCCTAGAGAATCTGACTTTGATCCTTAATAAGCTGCATCAGTAGCTTCTAAATGCTACAAATAGCAGCTCCTGTGAGATTAGCATCCTGTGCATGTAAAATAAGGGTGGGATTTAAAGCTCTAGTTCTGAAGAGACTACATTGAATGTTCAACTAACTTGAGTTAGACTCCTTAAAAGATAATAGGGCTATCACAGTGCATAAGATAAAGCTTATGTATAAACAATTGCAGGGTTTGGACCTTAGGAAAGAAGGAAGGTTTTTTTCCTGCTGAAACCCTGACATAATTTTGGGGTTCCCACACAATAAAACCAGCTCAAAACTCTTTCTAGTTCTTGCTGTGGTGGCTTCACATGTTAAATAAGTTCCTGCTGTAATGCTGGTTTTCATTTCCTCACTTGTCAAAGTCATTGGATTTGCTGGGTTATTTGTTGAGACTGTAACGTTGTTTTAAGTCAGTATTTGTTCTTGTCACATTGTAACTGGTACTTCTATTGATGCAATTACTTTTGCAACAGAGCAAAGTGATGCAGCAGGACAGATGCAGGCTGGGGTGCAAAGCCCCTGTGGAGCAAACTGGCACTGTTTGAGAGAGGCTTCTTCTCAGAAGTGTCCTAGAAAGTCCTGTTTRGTGGTGGGAAGTGTTATCCTTTTCATTCTTACACAAAACATTGAAAGATTCTTTTTTCTAAGTTGGAAATAAGCTTTTTTCTTCCCCCTTATGCTTGAAAAAAGTTTATATGTGACTGCATGGGATTTTAAGGCAGCAGCGTGTGAGCTCTTGAAATTGGCCATCCCTAGTGGCAAAAAGTGGGTAGCAGTTTTTACCTTTTCAAACATTGCAAAATCCAGCAATGTCGAGCAAAACTTAGCTCAGTGCCTGACATTGCTCTTCCGTGATTATTAAGGCAATCCACATGTTGTTTATGAGGAGCYGAGGAGCTGCAGTGAGTAAAGCTGTTAGTGGCAAATGTGTCCTTGTTCGGCATGTGCTGCTGCTGTTCCACAACAAACTTGGGCAGTACAGGGCAGGATACACGGGGAGCTCCTGCCACCAGGGTACTGTGGCTCCTAGCAGTTCACAGAGTTTAAATATGGGATTAAATAAATTCATGCAGGAGAAAAAAGCAAAAATCCAACCCCACCACTTTCAGGAACTGCTCATTACAGGGATATGGTTTCTGGCTCTGGTGCCTGCATCACAAATTGTTAGAAACTGAGCTCAGCAGGGAAACTGTCACTTGTATACTTACCTTGTTCGTTCTTTCCTCCCTCAACCGCCCCAAAATGAAACTTGCCACTGTCCAGGCCTCTGTTGATCTTGATTCTGACCTGGAGCAACCGTTCTTAAATGCATAAAACTATTGAAATGAGTTCTGTGTGGTACAGAAAAACAGTGAAGCCTATTACAAGAAAATGACTAAAACTGCTTCCTGCTGGAAGAGGAGGCTTCTGCTGAGTGTGCTCAGGCTGTGAGGGAGCCTCTGGCTTTTCATGGGATAGAGGTATGAAAGAAACAGTAGCTCAGAGTTGCAAGAGTGGGTCAGATCACAGCCCTTACAAGAGTAAGGGGAAACAACAGGATTTTTCATAAAAGCTGCCAGAAATTGAACCGAAAACATGATCTTGCACAAAGCAGTAAGACATTTTCTTAAGGTTTATGCAGCTAGTTATTTTGCCATGCTGTAGTATGGCTTTCCTTTCTAGGATGCCCCAGGACCTGTTTCTCAGCATAAAGGGCCACATGCACCTGCCAGCTCTTCTTGATATGGGGGATGCTACAAGAAAAGATTGTAAGATGCTTTGGACTGTAACATGCTCCGTCTCTCTCTTTTCTTTGAACCCCCACGCAGGAGTTGCTGTTTTTCCTCATTGACCAAAGTGTGTGGAGTTTGTCCTTGCYAAGAAAATGTAAACCTGTAACGTGTTGTGTGAACCATTCTATGAAGGTGTCTCAGCAGCTTTAGCTAGACCATCCTAAGGTGACACAAACAACATTGAAGGCCCTATACTTCCCCTTTAGTATAGGAAACAAGCCGTGACAGCCCGAAATCCACAAGATGAAATTGTTTGGGCAATGTTGCTTGTGCTGCACTCTGCCATGGTCTGCCGTGGGCTGCTGAGCGGGCTCGTAAGGCTGCGCTTAGCRTCGCCGCCCGTCTCTGGGCGCCGCGGCCATCGGTGTTTGTGACGAAGCGCCCCGCTGTCCCTCGTGCCCGCAACCGTGCGTAGCTGTAGCCCGCTTGTGTCTTGTCAAATCCTGTAAATAAGCTTCTAGTTGTCATGGTAATAAAATTTATGTATTACAGAGCTTTTTATTTTAACTGAGTTGCTTGTCAATTTGGATATTATCAGCCTCTCCCTGCTCCACTGCCTTTGATTGCTTTTGTTTCCTGTTTTTTTTTACTAGAAAGAAGGAATCTGTTGTTATATGTCATTATCTTTTTACATTCTTATAAAGGAAAATGCTATTGTACTTTATTGATGGCATGCATTGTTTTTGACAACGGCAGCAGGAGGTCAATTTTGTTGGAAAAAACTGTTTCTCAGGAAATCTGTACGGGGTGCATAGAGGGAATGAGGAAATAGAAATTGATAATGTCGTGGTTCATTTCAGCTAACTTTGTCTGTATCTAAGAATTTTTCAAGAGTACGCCTGAGGAGTGTTCTTCAATAAACAGTGTTCATGTTTGTTTTGAAAAGGAAATGTAAAACTGACCATGTCTAAATCTCTGAAAAGCTCTGTTTGAAAACACTCGCTGTGCAGGTAAGTTGTATAATCTATTAGACATTACTTGTTCTTTGTAATGCAGGATTACAGCTGGACAGACATCCGATGTCCCTTTGAAAAGCGCAGGGATGCAGCTTGTGTCTTCTGGGACAACGTAGTTTATATTTTGGGTGGTTCCCAGCTCTTCCCTATAAAGCGAATGGACTGCTACAATGTGGTGAAGGATAGCTGGTATTCCAAGCTAGGACCTCCAACACCTCGAGATAGCCTTGCAGCCTGTGCTGCTGAGGGCAAAATTTATACATCTGGTGGTTCAGAAGTGGGTAAGACACTAAAAATCTTTAAAACAAACAAAAAGCACAAAGAAAGATACCTGGAAAGCTTTCTGGTTTTGCATGACTCTTTGTTGACAAGAAACTGCGCACTGCCGTGATGCTAGCCTCATAATGCTAGAGTTATTTTTTCTGTATGTAGAATTTTTTCTTCCCTGCAACCCAGTAATCTTTCTGTTGTGTATGTGTGTGCGCGTGCTTTTATTTCRCTTTATTTAAAAAAAGGCAGTTTCATTGAATATAATGATTTTTACATTATTAAGTAGAGCATAGAATACAGTGTGACTCTTGGGAGTAAACTGAGGACAAGCAAATATATTTTTTGGTTCCCACTCTGCTCTTAGTTCACCTYTCTAAATCCATAGAGCTTTCCCTGTGTGGATGAAAACCATGAGTGAGGTAGGGCCAGAACAGATTGTACTGTTTGGGCTGGGCTTAACAAATATAAAGGAGAAAAGACTTTTGATTTTGCTGCTATTGGTAGTGCACCCATCCACCATCTCGTAAAGGACTTTTTGCCATTTGACAAAGAAAATGTTGAGAGAGAGAAAAAGACCAAAAAAAAGTCAGGGACAAGCTCTTCCCTAGCAGCTTGCTGTTCTGCTGGTTTGTCTTTGTGGAGACCCGCTGCTTCCTTTAGAAGCCTCTGCTCATCATACAGTCAAAAATTCAGACCACTGGTGGGGAAGAGCCTGTCCATCCCCAAACCTTGGCTTGGATCTGCCTCACTCATACTGTAGTGTTAAAGTAATGTTTTTGAGGGTTTTTTTTTTTGCCTAAATTCATCTGATGCAATATCTCCGGCAAACTAGGAAGTACGAATCTCTGTATGGCATATCCATAAAAAMTATTGCTAAGAGGAAAAGTTGTTCTACCAATACTAGAGCCATGCAAGTACAGAATTGGAGCAAAACTGATGAGGATCCACTTACCACAGAGGGAAGGGAGCAGGAAAACAGTGGTCTTAATCAGTGATTAGCACTGAAAATAATCCCTTAATAGGGAGCCGTGGCCCTTGGGGAACCGTAGGTGCCTTGGGAAGCAGCTGGGCAGCGCTGAAGCAGCCGAGAGGCACAGCTCCAAACTGCCACCTCGTGTGCGGAGCGCGGAAGAGCTTCCCCCGTTGAAACCGGCTTAGCCGGGGCTGCCTTGGGGGGCTGGAAATACTAGAAAAGCTGTTAAATTGTTCCCGTTTCCCACATGCCAGCTGATGAAATATGATCTAAACTGATCGTATTGACTTTTAAAGCCTTTTTGTGTCTAATATATGTTAGTTCATACATTAGTAGTAGAGAGTAAGTAGTCTTAAGTAATTAGTCTTAAGTAGTCTTAAATTTTTCCTCCCTTGCATATATTCCCTTTTTCTTTCTATAAATATCATTCAGTTGTAATGATAACTAAAATCAATAACTGACACTTTCATTGCATTTTTTTCATTGCATTTCTGGAATCCATTGAACACTGATCATTTATTGGGAAAAATCTTTCCATCCCAGTTCACGTAGGAAAGTACACGAAGCAACAATTATCTCAAACTGTATTAAAGAAAACATTGCAGAGTGTTTAGCTGCAAGGAAATCTAAAATAGCATAGTTTTGTTTTTCTATTTTAAAACCTGCACTTGCTAAATTTTTCTGCCATGTTTAAGTTCAGGGCAAATGTTTGCTATAATCCTGACAATTTGGCAGCATRTTGGAGATAGAATCTCTGTCCACCACTTTTTTTTCCCTCCACAACCTTGAAGCAAAAACTTACTTGCCACCAAGGAAGGATTATGGCCCACTGCTCTTCGTTGTTATGATAAGAATTGCGTGGTAGAAAGACAAAAAAAAAAAAAAAAAATGTGGTTTATAAAAGTTTTAGACATAGAAACACAGTGCCATAAGTTTTGAGGGTTCAGCTGGTAGTGAGGACACTGAGTGCTGCTTTGTGAAACATAGTTTGAGAAGAAGAAAGCTGAAGAATAAGAAAGTCTGGTGAAGACACTTTTAGCTGTTGTAGGTTAATGTGTSCGTTGAAACAAAGCTCAAATATTCTTGTTCTTTTCTGTGAACAAGTCTGTAAGCTTCCCGTCTGGTGGAAAGATTGCTTTGGACTTCAGTAAGAGCTTTTTTTTCTGCATCTTGAGGGAAAAGGGAACAGGCCTTGTCCTTCCAGAAAATAAGGTTTGCCCGTCCCCAGGAAGAATGGTAAAGGATAGCTGTTTTGYGGTTGCTAATAATCTGGAAATATGTTGCAACATAAGCTAGCCATTTGATTTCAAGTGTCACAAGTGTTCTGGGAATTAGCCAAGTCACATTGTTTATATAGAGGGGGGAAACAAAGAGACATGGGAATCCGTAGCAAGTTTGCAATACTCTGATTTCATCTTCATAGCTGAAAGTTGAATACATTTCAAGTACTAATGGATGCCACGAGGTGAAAATTTTTGTCAGTGACTGATACATTCTTGTTTATTTTTTGCCCCTCCTTTTTCCACCCCTGCCCCAGGAAGTCTGTCCAGATCACTTGTTTGTTTGTTTTGGTGGCTGTTCATAAATCTAGTTGCATATTTTGGAAGACAACAAAAGAGTCAAGAATAGTACCTACTTCYAGAATAGTCCCTAGATTAGAGTTGATTAGCTTTGTTTTTAGAAGTTGGAAAGCAACTTTACATATTCAGCTAGTAAATAGAGCATCAGTTCGATATTACTGCTAGAATTTTTTGTTAAACAAATTGTTTAAAGAAAAATTAATGTCACTTTGGTGGGTTTCTTATTTTTTAAGGAAATTCTGCACTCTATCTGTTTGAATGCTACGATACGAGGACAGAAAGCTGGCACACGAAGCCCAGCATGCTGACGCAGCGGTGCAGTCACGGCATGGTGGAGGCAAACGGCCTCATTTATGTGTGTGGAGGAAGCCTGGGGAACAACGTTTCTGGAAGGGTCCTAAATTCCTGTGAAGTTTATGATCCAGCCACAGAAACGTAAGCATCAATTCCACTGCTTCTCACTACGGTTTTGTTCCCTCTCTAAATACCTGAAGTATCCAGTTCTTTCCATTCATCTATACAATAAGGAAATTTCCTGAGTTAACTAGTAACAAATAGGATATTTGTGATTTTACTTAAAAGGCTCCTTTTCTTGAGCAGTTTTCTTCAATATTGCACTTTCCCAGTTCYAGGATGAACTTGTTTTTATTTTCTAAGAAATAAATTGTGGGTTATGTAGTTCTGGGATGAACTTAATTTTTTTCTAAGAAAAATGTGTGTCATCTTGTGYGTTGAGGGGTTTYGTTGTTGCTTTTGTTCTTTTTCTCCTAGGTGGACTGAGCTCTGTCCGATGATTGAAGCCAGGAAGAATCATGGACTGGTGTTCGTAAAAGACAAAATATTTGCTGTGGGTGGACAAAATGGCTTAGGTACTCCTAATTCTTCTAGTTTTGTAGCTGGTCTCGCAGAGTTTCTTATTGGGGCTTTTGGCTTTTGCTAAAAATTCATGGTAGTCTATTTATCTGCAGCAKTATGAGCAGTACCAGCATAAAATATCCTGTACTGCTGTCCCTGTATTGCTGCCTACCGCCTTGCACCTTCCTGCCTTACTCTGAATTATCTTCCTAGCTCTTTTATTACTGGTAGTCCTAGCAAAATCAGAAATATGTGTAACCCAGTTCTGCAGTAGTTTAATATAGGTAAACCAGTTATATGAAAAAAAGGAATCCAATCATAGGAAAGTTGGATTTGAATTTTAATTACATAGGATTTCCAAAATGATTTCAAAAATTGAGAGAAAAATCCAGCTTTATTAATCATTATTTGTGATACCATTGATCTAAAATCAGATATTTTACTACTTTTAGTGTGTAGCTTATAACTTATTTAACTACTGCATCTCTTCTAATATGACTGATTCCCAATACAAAAAAAAATCAGTAGATGCCACTCTTGATGCCCTTTCTGCAAAACTCTAGTCTATTGACTGAATGCTTGGCTTAGAAGTGTGTCTTATTGCTCCAGTAATTTAAACTGTTCTGCTGTTTTTTGTAYTTTGTGGCCTGATTGACTAACGGATGTTATGGTGGTATCATGGGAAAAGGTTATATTTGGGATAAAATATTCATATGTCCTAGGATCATAGAGATTTCTTGATCTTTGAGACCTAATAATTCTGATGTGGAAGTAAACACTTCTGTGTCTGAATCACTATTGGCAAAAAGGGGTAACTGGGTATTGCAGATGCTGTGAAGCGTCGCTGTTAGACTGCTTCCTAAAGAAAGAAGTCTTATGCAGTCCCAGTATCTGCTTTACCCTGATAATTCCCAAGTCCATTGGCCAGTTTCTGTCCCAGAGACTTAGGCCTCTAAGGTTAAATTCCTTGAAGTTTAATGAAGAGAAACACACACACTGTTACTAAAATGGCCTATTTGGTTAAGGGTACTGATGAGTGACATGTCTGGAATAAAATCTGTGTGTAACGCCCCTTGGACACTGTTAGTTGCTCTCTTTGTTGATGAAACATGCTAAATCAGACTGTATTATATGAAATTTGTAGCAGTGCATGTTTCAGTCTCCTTTTTCTGCTTTGTTTATTTAAGAAAAGTTAGCAACGAATTCAGAAACCTGTYGTACTTAACCTTCCCTCTCCACACACACAAACAAGCAAAAGCTTTAGCTTGCTTTTACTGTAATGATCTGYTTTAATCTAAACCTTTAAAATCATGACTTAGTTTTATGAAGCGTATGCATGCTCAAGTTTAGTCTTGAGTGTATTGTGTAATAAGCATTTATCTATTCCATTGCTTTGTAGGTGGCCTTGATAATGTAGAATACTACGATATCAAGATGAATGAATGGAAGATGGTGTCTCCAATGCCATGGAAGGGTGTGACGGTGAAGTGTGCTGCTGTGGGATCGATCGTCTATGTCCTGGCTGGTTTTCAGGGTGTTGGTCGATTAGGGCACATTCTCGAATACAATACAGAAACAGACAAGTGGATAGCCAACTCCAAAGTGCGCGCTTTCCCGGTGACAAGCTGTTTAATCTGTGTCGTTGACACTTGCGGCGCAAACGAAGAGACCTTGGAGACCTGAAAACCCACAAGAGATGCTGAGACATCCTTCAAGGACGTGAGGAGAGAYGGCCATGGTGCTTTGCTTCCGTGTTCTATTGAATCTTGTTAAACTGAGTACTAGGAGAAACTGGGATGCAGTTTTGAATTTGTATATACAGCATATTGTATAACTTGGATTTTGTCATGCCCATCTGTTGTCTGTTTGAGAGATGGGGATGTGTTTTGAGGATCTACTTACCTAGAATCAAAACTGGTTTTGAGAATCCACAACATATGACATGACTCTGTGGCCTTGTCAAAAGTAGACACAGTCCAATTATTTAGAAGAATTCAAGGCATTTGATGAAGATAAAGATTTCTGGCTGAATTATACTTTCCAGATCACATTTACGAAGAATCTTCCTTTAATAAAGGTGAGTAAGCACAGCCTGGGTCATGTGTAAATGAGAAATTTGCACATATTTCTCAAGATTCTCACAAATCTTACTCGAATGCAATGAAGATTTTTGCTCAGGAAAGACCAAGGACAGCATTATAATGGATTAAGATTCCCATGGAGAAGGGGAATAGATTATACAGCTCCTTTCTTATAATAGTTGCCCTATTTCTGTGACTTTCTTCCTTCACTTGCATGACTGCATATCAATTTTGAAGTTGAATGGCCTATTTATATATATTTATATATATATATAAAATAAATTAGCAAAACACTTTGGCTTCCTTGGCATTTCAGGGAGGTTTCACAAAAAACACTTGTGAGCTGTCACAGAACTAAACTCTCATTTTTTGGTTATGTTGAGGAGGTGAAGGAGGCCCACGCTAATTGCGCACCATAGCAGCGAGATGAGAAGTTGGGGCGCTGTTTGCAGGTTGTCCRGAATGCAATACTGTTTCTTGGCTCATTTGGTGTACTGAGGCTGTGTATTGATTAAAACTAATGAAGTGACCACTTGGCTCAGCATAGGAAACGTGTTATTTTGGAGCGGAAGCTGCGAGTGAAGCAGAACACCTCTGTGAGGCTTGTGACTCGGTCCCTTTTACTCAATAAACGGTTTCTCTTCCCTAGCACGAGCAGCATGGTTTAATGCGGGTCGCCTTTGCGCTGGCGGGGAAGCCGTTGGGAGCGTTGCGGCGGTTGCGGCCGCGCGGTGGAGATGACGGTTGGGGCGGGGCCGGGGGCGGGGCGGCG